TATTGCATCTGGTCGCATTGTGCGCATTCATGCACCGTTTCCATGCGGATTCAGCCCTGATTCAAGTGTGGCAAAAACCCCACCTCACAGCTGTTACACTGTAAAGCTGATTAGATAGCTTGGTAAGTGCTCGTCGGGAGCACCCCTTTAAAATGAAACTCGCATTGGACACTTACTTGCCGATGTCCGAAGGTACCCCCCGATGGGCGTGGGGGACAGCCTGTCCGAGGTGAACACTAGATCGGCTAGTTCGTTCTGAGGAAATACTTCTCGTTGATAATCGTTGATGTTCGGTTGGTAATGGGCGAGGCTAGTCCTCTAAGCCCACACGAACTCAGACTTTCATAGAGTTCTAAATTCTAAGCTGGTACAGGAAACCGTGGCTTAGTAGCTCGGGTGAAAACCTATACAGCTCAGCAAAATACACAACTACCCATATAACTACGTGTTAGGCAGTAGTTACACTGAATGTGTGATGCCGAGATCAGACCGATGCCTCCGACTGCCGAAGGTGGCGGAGGCGACGGCGACTTTATTCTGTTTGCTAAGGCAGCCCTAAATGGCTGTATGCCTTATCTGTGAGTGCTGCCTTATCTGGATGGAACCATTGTGTTAGCGTTGTGTTTAGGAAGTCTGAGCGTCGTTGGCGGTTCTGGATGGAACCACACTCCCCCGGACGCGAGGGCTTCCTGTCGGTGCGGGGGGTGGGTTGATTTGTATGCTGTGCTTATGTTTTTGGAACAGCGTGTTTTTGAGCGGTTTTTTTAATATATCGGCTTTTTGCTCTGTGGTGGGAATGCGCGATACTTTGAGATTGCCGGTTTGAACTGTCTCGTGCAGGAAATGGTATCGTACATCGATACATTTTCTTCTGCGCGTCGCGCCGGTGTTTTTGGCCATCTACACGGCGGCCGTGTTGTCGACGTGCAGGACGGGTTGGCTGGTCGGTATGCTCGTTTCCTTCATCATGTTGGCGAGCCAGATTGTGAGGGTGGCGGTTTCGGCTGCTGCTATGTATTCCGCCTCACATGTGCTCTTGGCGACGATCGGCTGTTGTCGCGAGAGCCATTGTACCGGGGAGCCGTTGAACAGCGTGATCGAGCCGGTGACGGATTTTCGCGTCGTCTCGTCGTTGGCATAGTCGGCGTCCGAGAACGCATCGGTTGTGATGCCCTGTTTTGTTCCTCTTGGCATGAGGATTCCTTCCGTGCGGGTCGCGTGGGGGTACTGTGCCAGCCTTTGCAGCAGTTTCCAGTGGCGCTGCGTGGGTCCTTTTAGCGCTCTCGCTAGTGTTGTCGCCGCGAAGGCGATGTCGGGTCTTGTAGAGTCGGCTATGTACCTGATTTCCCCGACTGCACTGCTGTATATGTCAGCTATGTCCTCTCGTGTGGTTTCCTCGTTGGTGGGAGGGTCTACTTTGACACCGTCGAGGTATGGTGTGCGTTGGGGGTTGCTCTGGGTTTGAGCGAGCATGACCACCACGCTGTCAATGTGCTGTGGCTGGGAGATGTGGATCCCTTCTTTTCTGTATTGTATGGTCCAGTTCAGGTATTTTTCGGGGCGTCCGAGTCTTTTGACTTTGTACTTGGCTCGCAGTACCTTGTACAGTGCGTCAATCATGGTGGGGTTTGTTGCAACTGGCAAAAAGTCATCCATGCTGATCCCTATGAGGATTATGTCGTGCTTGTCCCTTTTTGTGAACAGTGATGTGTCCGAGCGTAGCTGCTTGTATCCATGTTTTTGAGGTGGTTATGGAGTTGCGTGCTATATATGTTCGCTGCTGCCGGTGTGCCGTAGAGGTTCCCTTTCAGTTGGCCATGAGTGCTCGTCTTGTCGTCCTGTCTGCCATGTATGTGGCTGTCTTATCCGGGTCATAGTGCACGGTCGGTTTCATGAGGTCCCCTCGTATGGAGCAGCGTGCTTTTCTTACTGGGTTCGCCGATGCCGAGCTGTGTTTGTATCTGTAGGTCATCGTCGTTAGCAGTATGTCGCGTTTGGGAATATTACGCGTTGGGGAGTGCCAATCTATCGCATGCATACTGCCGAGTTGATCGAGTTCTGCGTCATACGCTGTTCGCCATTCGGCCGCGTCGGGGAATTTGGTGGCTTGCTTTCTCGTCTTGGGGGGTGCCGTGGTCCTCGTGATTTTTGTGGGGATTTTCCTGGTGTTTGTGTTGCGTTTCTGCTTCCGTTTGGCCTGGAAGACGGCCGTGGTGGTGTTGTATGGGTCTCTTTGTTTGACATAGGGCTTGAAATCGATTGCCCGTATTTTTTGGTAGCGTCTTGTTTGGAGGTTCTGCACGCAGATATGCGTGTCATCCATGCCGTACATGTATCGGACTGGTGTGGCCTTGCTGTGGAGATTAGGAAGGTGTGGTTTGAGGTTGGGGATATACCCTATTTGTCCGAATGTGATGATCGATTTAATTCGGGGTGCTGTGCCATGCCATTTTTTGTGCGGTAGAGCTCCTATTCCATGATGGTACGTGATGTTGTACTTTTACACGGCGTCTTGTAGGGCGTCTTGCCAGTGTGTTGCCTGGAGGTTGCTGTGCGAGAGGGTGGCGCGTACTTTGTCCATCAGCGTTCGGTTGATACGTTCTGCGAGCGCGTTTTCTTGTGGCGTGTACGGCGTCGTTGCTCGGTAGTTGATACCTCTTTGCCGCAGTTTGTCTTGCACTTGTTTCGCGAGATATTCTTTTGCATTGTCCGTGATCAGGAGGCAGGCGTGTTGGCCGTTCTCGGTGGCCACTTGATCTATTGCTGTGATTACGGCATGCGGGACTTGTGCGCAGTTGTTTAGGTAGTGTACCCAAATGTATCTCGTGTTCGTGTCGATAATTGTGAGGAAGTAATTCGCGTTGTGGGCCGACGTGGGTTTGATGGGGCGGCAGACGTCTGAGGACAGGCTGTCGCCTTTGTCGACTGTATGCGTTGCCCTTTTGTGCGGTCGTCGTGCTGTCCTTCCGTATATAAACCCGCTGCATGTTATTGTTGCGCTGGTGTCTGATAGTCCTTGGGGTAGGGCTGAGAGTAGCCTGTGTTTGGACATGTGCGCAATTGTTTTGGGGTTGGCGTGATTGAGCTTAAGGTGCCATTCCGACATTTTTTTTTGTGCCTGTGTTGACTTTTTGTATTTTGGTGGGGGGGCTGGGGCTGTGCGCATGTTGGGTGCTCGTGGTTTTGGTGTGCGCAATGGTATGTAGCTGCTGCGATGCTCGGTGGGGGCAGTTGTGGTGTGTTTGTTGCGCGGGGCGGCGTGGGGTTTTGTTTTTGTAATGTGTTTGTTTTTACGGTGGTATGTGCGTGCCCCTTTGGCTGTGGCGTCTTGGTCGAGCCTGTATTGCCCGTCGCGGAATGTAGCTGTCATGATTGGCGGCGGGAGGCGGATTGGTTGGTGGAGGGTTGCCTTGTTTCTTGCGAATGTTACTTGTCCGTGCTTCGTGAGGTCGTGCACGGACAGTAGATTTTCCTTGACTTGCGGGGTGTGGACTGCCGGTATTGTCAGCTTGTTATTCTTCTGTGTTATGGTTATGCGTCCCGTGTGTGTTATTGGCGCGCGGTGTCCCGTGGCTGTCGTGGTTAGTGTCCCGGTGCTGCGTGGCATATTCGCGTGGGGTCGTGCGGTATGCGTGGGGTTTGCACCGGAGTCCAGGATGAAATTTAGCTTACCATGGGTTGTGTCTACGTCGGTAAGTGTCGCTTCAAGGGTGTGTATGCGTTCTTGCAACTCGTGCAAGGCGCTCTGGTGTGGGTCTGCGTCGCTGTCGTAGGCTTGTGCTGCGTGCGCGTTGCCTGTGTTGGTGCGGGGTGTTTTTCTACCCGCGTAGCATTTTTCTGTGGTGTGTGTCAAGCTGCCGTGATGTATGCACCATGGCCCCTGGTGTCCTTTTGGTGGAGGGTATGTTGTTTTGCCTCGGGCTGGTCGTGGGAAGCGCGCCCGCGGTGTTCTGTGTCGAAGTGCGTGCTGTGGTGCTGTGGTGGCGGGTGCTGCTGGGGTTTGTGTTTGCATCAATTGCACTTGTTGTGCGTGGTGGTTGAAAGCCTGTATGGTGACGGGTGGGTGCCCTGCCATGATCATGGCGAGGATGCTCATGTTTGGGTGCTGGGTGAGCCCCTGTATCATATATCGAACGGTCGTGCGTTCGTCATCTATATTGGGGTAGCGTGCAACTTGCATCTTGTACCTGAGTTCCCGATGCTGACTGACATAGTCTTTGAGTTGGGTTCCGGGTTCGTATTTGATGCTTCTGGCTTCAGCGTCCAACATCTCATGATTTTCGGTTGATGTTGTGTCAACGATTCCTCTTATGACTCGGCATATTACGTTCGGTTCGTATCGGAGTACGTGGGGTGGTAGTGTCCTGATGATGTCCGGTGTTAGGCTTTGCATGATGGTTCGGCGTAGTTGGTCTGCTTTTTGTTGGTTTGAGGCCTCCGTGCCTGGATCGGAGTCCGGTGTGTGGGGTGCGTTGATCTGTTCGACGGCGTCGATTGTCCGTGCGTGGATTTCCAGTGCGTCGAACCAAAACGTGTAGTTGGTTGTGTCGAGGCGCGGAAACAGTCCCGCTGTGGTTGTTTGTGGATCTTTCATGTCGGTTTCCTGTGTGCGGGGATGTGGGAGGTTGGTTAGTCGTTGCGCTGCTGTTTATCGCGGTGTGGATTGGTGTTGTTGTGACGCGGATCGGTTGTCAGTGGTAGTGTGTGGTGCCCATAACCTGTGATGCCAAGATCAAACCGATGCCTCCGACCCCCGAAGGTGGCGGAGGCGACGGCGACTTTATTCTGTTTGCTATGGTAGCCCTAAATGGCTGTATGCCTTATCTGTGAGGGCTGCCTTATCTGGATGGAACCACAAAATGTAACCATTACAGCAAGGATACTGTGCGCTGGATGCGTTGGCGAATTAAGGTTGCAACCCGCGTGCGGGCTGACAGCAAGGTACAGCGCAGTACAGCGCCGTTGCTTACACGTCCTCAACAGTTCCCGATAATTCTAGATTACACTGGAAACGCCTTATACTTCATAATTCTTACATCAAGTCCTCCGTCACCCGATCAAGATTGATTCAATCTTGCTATCAATTGATATCATCCCTACCGCCCTCACAGTCTTTCCAAAGGACGCATCCGCCCATCCTTCCTCACCAACGCCAGCAGCGTCTTGGATCGACCTGGGCTCTTCACCCACGCAATCCTGTGCTCGTCGTTCCGCCTTCCCCTGCCCCGAGAGCGGTATGCCGCAGCCACACGTCCGACCGCACAGGAATGAGGCAGGGAACCCTCCGACTGTGCTTCTTCTCCGTCGCGTGCTCGCACCCTGCGTCCCACCAGCACTAGCCCTTCCTTTGCAGCCTCGGTTGCACTTATCGAGTCGTCCTGCAAAGAATATGACGTGTCCAAGTGACATGTCTTGTCACCGCTCCGGACTACTGATGTTCGAGGCGGCGCCCCGGGCACCATGCCGCAATTGTATTTGCAACTTGCTGACATCGCCAAAACCCTGCGGCTAGTCTCTAGCGTGATGCGTCGACAGCTCGGTTCCACCTTCACCAGCTTCAACCTGTAAAACACATGCACAGACGCCCCTACGAGAAAAGTAACGAGGATTATACCGACCCCGATTATGAAGAAAATATTGATAGTTGCCACGGTCTTGACGTCCGAGATCAGGCTACCCAGTTCAGTCTGTAGCTCCGTCGATATCCAATTCACCTCAGTCTGAGACCTTTCTTCATCCCCCTTTATCCAACTATGATATATCCGCCAGATCTTGTTGTAGTCCGCAGAGGCTAACTGCAACGCTTTGAACATGGCATCCGCCTCATTTTCGCTGCGCCCGTCCTGCATTCTACAAGCAGGAAGCCCCTTGTTGTCCATGTCGCCTATCACACTAAGGCAACATGTCACCTGACGCCCCTCTCGCATCATAAGCATTCCCCCCGTCTCTGTCACGACGAGAGTGGCATTCTCCCCGTTAAAAGTCTCTGTGCGTATACTGCGGTCAGGAGAACTAGACGGGCGGCTGTCCACCTCGTCGAATATGGCCCATGGTATTTTCATTTCGACCCTCTTGCCGTAGTCTATTTTGATACTTTGGCTTTTGAGGGTTGTCAAGGCGGGCGGCAACAGGTTTCCATCGTGCCTTACAACCTCACTTGGCCTAATACTGACGTCCACACAAACAACTTGCCAGCTTGCTGGATATTCGGTGTTCCCGTCACAGTCGAGCATCAACTGTGGTAACTTGTCCATCCTAACAGTTACAGTGATGTTGTAGTCACTGCAAATTTGCAAATAAGTGACAAATAGAAGATTGGACACTATCTCAGTGACTGCGATTGACGCCTCCCCTGTCCAGCTTGTTTCCAGCAGGACGAATGATGCGAGGCCAGTAGTGATCAGCAACTTGTCGTCTTTCACCAACGCCGCCCCGGCACGGCCTGAGAACCATAACTCTCTGCCATTTCCTGTTAGCATCCATTGATCCGGAATGGCCGAACTGATGACTCGTCCCTCAACCTCGACCGCACTTCTGGTGCTCTTAATGACTTGTATGTCCCGCTCAGTGATTCCCCATGCTTCATCAGGTACCAGGTCCACCTCGTAGACTTGGTACGTAGCATTCACAATACGTTGAGAGCGTAATGCCGGGCTCCACGTTCCGTCACTGTTCCTTCTCACATCCAGTGGCTGTGACCTCCCGGCAGCCCCGTACCCAGTGGCGATCATGTTCCCCGACGCGACGTCAGACGAACCCGAGCCGAATTCGATCAATAAATCGGCAGAAAGCAGGATAAATGCGACAAAAGCTATAACCAGCCTGAAACGCCAGTCGTTCCCATCCTCCTCAGTCACCAGAGAACTCCTAGTGTACGGCCTCGGTCGTAGTTGGACGGGAGAACCCGAGGATACTCGAGAACCTGCTCTATATGCCACATTTGAAGACCATAATTTCGCTAACATTGTGGTCATGACCAAACTCAAAGAAACGAACCGGACGACGTTCCACAGTGGGACCCCTATGGCCAGTTCAAAAATCATCGCGCGCGTAGTGTGTTTGCAAGAGTAGTGTTGCGTACTCGTGCTTTCTCCTCAGTTCCGCCGCGGCAAGTCGTACAGGGACAGTCTATCCCCCTCTGCCTTCTCCATCTTGGAGAAGCGCTGGCAGAGTCGTTTATTTAGGTAGCGCTGCCACTCTCCCGGCCCCCTCAGTCTCAGCTGCGGTAGGGGACACCTGCCCCCTGTGAGCCTATCCCCGAGCACATATTCGCCGCGTCCGGCGCAGGAGCTCTCCCAGCCATGGGCTTGTACAGTACGTATTATTTGGATGGCTAAAAATTCTGAGCGGTGATTGGCTTTACGCCGGAGGCTATCGGCGGCTGTGCGCCATATATACGGGTGCGTACTGTACAAGCCCGTGAGGCAGCGAGTTGATCACTTGATGGCCATGGTTGGACCTTTTGCCCATGGGGGGACGTGGTCGAGACGGAAAACGACAGAATTTGGTGGTCTCGGGACCATTTGAAGAGCCGCTTTCCAGCAGTGAAGATAAGAAGGTACAGTAGTTCCTCGGTATAAGAATATGTTCGGTGGGCGGGTTTTCCATTCTTATATAGAGGATAGATATTCTTTAATGAGGATTTGGTCCTACTAACACAGGAGAGTTAAGCTATTACTGTAACTTAAAAAAGTCGTCTATCCTACTCTGGCGCCCGGCCGCGGCCTCCTCAGCCTGCAAATCGCGCCTCAGGCGACGTAAGTACCCGTTTCCTTTGGGGATTCGGCCATCCCCAAAGGAAACGGGTGGATTTCCTGCCGTTACTGGTTTCTGAATATTGTACTGGCCCTTATTTTTGTTGTAAAAGTAGCTGGTTCTGTACCAGATTTTTGAAAAATCTTTCTCGTTGTATTCTTGTATAGAGTATGAATAAATGTTCGAAATTGGGGTCAATTTTGCAGGAACGAAAACAGTGGATGCGTTTTGCATTCTTATACCGAGGATATCCTTATATGAGGCATTCTTATAAGGAGGAACTACTGTATTACTGTACCGTTCCCTTTTTGTTTGTGGATGGCACTGTGAGAATCCCACATAGCACTCACGAAAAGAAGGGTATGCAGTGGTAGTAGTGTGCGGCACTGCTATCAATATGACTTATTGATTGGTGATTCCTGCTGCATCCTTCTGAGTCAAGCTCCGTCGACTTTAGTCTTTGTCAACCTTAGCCCGTATTAGTTCCTGTTATTCTTTACAGGTCCCAATTTACCTACCGCCCTACATCCCCTATAAGTAATGCCACACTTCATTGCTAGTAAGAAAAAAGATAGAGCACTTCCACCTCTCAACATTTCAACTTACGAGCTGACCACAGTGATCACTACGATTGCTTGTAATTTTCAACATGGCGGGGAACTCAAACTCCAGCCAGGCCCAGCTACAGGGTCAACATCTATTTACGCCCATTGCTCATCCGGAACTACGTCGGCTTGGACAGAAGAGCATCCATGCTTTTTTGCGTGAGCGTGAGCGATATTTGCTACGCATCAATGATGCCCAAGCTACTGGTAGCAGCATTTCAGCAATTTCTCTCAAGTCTTCGCTGGATCCAGACCTTCTCCTATCGCTTGTAGAATTCGACGAATTTGACGGGGTGACCTCCGTTGATGAACTCTCTGAAGAGGCGTTAAAAAATTGGCTGGACGAGAAGAAGACAGTGAACTTCGATACTTTGACAACTACCGAGCTGGATAATTCTATTCGGTCATCTGTTCGAATGAACATCAACGAAAAGAATCCTGAACTCCGCATCAAAGCGCTCTTCATGGACTACAAAACTTTTCTTCGTGTCCGACGGTGGGGAGACCTCATTCAGAAAAATCCCAAACAGGCCACCGCACACATTTGTACACTGCTGAAGCCTCCTGCACTCAAGGAAAAAATTGAAAACGACCTTTCCTTGAGTAGGCATGATTTGAAAAAGGATTGGATGCAGTTTTATCGCTACGTTGTTAATCAAGCCGTTCGATGCGACGAATTTGTATCCATTCGGCAGACTACGAGAGATTCTGATTCTGTAACTACGAAGATTGGCGCTGAAAAGCAAGACAAGACAAGAGACGGTTCTGCGAAGTCAGGAAACGGAAATGGCAAATTGAAAAACGATACATATGGTTCCACGCGGAAATGGAACAGAGGCGGCCGAAGCAACCAAGGCACACGAGGAAACAGCAATAGAGGTTCAAACAACTCCACAGATTCACGTTCGAACGGCGCCGGATCTGAAAACACGGGGGGTGTCATTGAGTTACCTTTTTGTTTAAATGTTTCCAAATGTAAGAAACGACATTATGTGAAGGACTGCCCTCTTTCAACAGACGAGGAGAAATATTCTTTGTTAAAAGAATTCTACAAGACTCGATCGGAAAAGGGACGTTTAAGCGTTCTGTCGCAAACACAGGAAGCATGTCATGCGCTGCAAGGTTCAGGACGGTACTTCGCAAAATTGGCGGACAGTGTAAACGTAATCGTCAACGGCGATTACGGTGCGGACCATTCTGCTCTCAGCGAGCAACACGTCAAACAGTGCGCTGATGATGGTGTATATGTTAACACTCTAACCCTTCGCGAACCAATCAGAATGAGTCTAGCTATAGGAGCAAATGCGGAAGAAGATTCGCAAGTTTATTGCGCCCACACAAAGGTCCGTGTTTCTGTTACTCTCAATACTCCAGAAGGACCACTCCGTCTCCGCAACTTGGAATTCCTTGTTTTCAAGGAGTACATGCCCGAAATTCTTATCGCTCGCCCAGTTCTTCAGGCGATAGGATTTAATTTGGACGAGCATCTGAAGCGTGTGCGAAATCAATTCCACGACGCAGACTTTTCGAACATTGGGTTTTCTTCAGCACTTTCCACCAAAGAGGATACTCCCCCAAAAACTCCTGGACGTCTGTCACGTATACTACTTCGCGGTTACACGTCTAACGCCCATACCCAGAACTCCACTGATTCAGAGGAGGTAAATTCAGGGTTCTCTTCGGATGACGGTACCTCTTACAGCGACTCGGAAAACGGTTCACCTGATGAGTCTCCAATTCTTTATGGGGACACTCCAGATGATGGCCCCGTCTCCAAAGATTCTAACATTTCATTTGGAATCGATCAAGAGTCAGACACAGATTCACAATTGAAAGAACGAATTCAGGAAGCCATTCAGGGCGGCCTACCAGAAGAATATCACGAAGAATTACAGGACTTAGTATATGGCTACAGGGATATTTTCAGAACAAGGCTGGGGGCTGATCCGCCTGCCAGTGTGCAGCCAATGTGTGGCCTGGGGAGGGGTTTTCGCCACGTGGCCACGTTGACCACGTTCTTGCGAGGCCGTGGCCCCACCTGTGACACGTGGCGACATTTTTGGCGAGTGACCATTTCTGCGATCACAAGCTTGTGATCGCAGAGTTTCTGGCCATGACGTCCGTCATAAAATTCCAAAGTCTCCAAATCCCTTCAAACTCGTCCAGAGGCATACTAAGCTGCTGCAATTGGTATTCTGTGAAGAGT